TTTTAAACCAGATGCATGAGGAGTATTATTTTGGGGATAAGATAATTTGCCTGGATGACTTTGGTTATGATGCGAAAAACAGAGAGGAGAACTTTACCGAATGTTCATATCATCAAAAACCAAAAACTTACAACTGCGCGAATGATAATGTCGAAATAATGACCGCTTGGTTACGTGAAGAAAAACTTTATTACTTGTCGAATCGTATTGCCTTTATTCAGCATGGTCATAGTGGAAAACAATTTGCAATGCTTGACAGTAGTGCTGGAACCCAGTCCAATGATCATCATCAGCGAAATATAGTGACCGATGATTCAAGAATTTATTCGAGCACTAACGCAAATGCGCTTATGACGTCAAAAAGGAATCTTGATCATACAACTGCTCCATTTGTTGTAAATTCAGTAATTTCAAGTGCTTCGAGAATTCAAAAGCCTGTAATGCCTTCAACAAGTCATTCTAATGAAGATTACATTCCAGTATCGTTTAGAAATCTAGAATTCAAAGATCCACATGCATTTGCATGGATTGATAAGATTAGCCAATTTGATGAGTCGTCCACGCGAATTTGTACAACGGCTAAAAACCAGGGTAGTATTTCCAACAAGATATTTCCTGTCAATTCGATTGACAGCAGAATTAAAAAGCAAACAGAAAATTATCTCTTTCAGCGGAATGAGCTTTCTGAGAATTCAAGCATCCAGAACTTTCTTTCTGAGAATAAGCTTAGTACCTACATGAAGAATATTGATGATACAATCTACCCAATCATCAAGAATCCAACAGATCCAAGTCCTCCGGCGCCTGATCTGGTTTCTTTATTAAACGACAATTCATCGATCGCGACTAATTCGAGACATTCCTACGGGGCTTTTGGATCAGAACCTTTTGATTCAAATAATTCTTTCTTGGAACATTATCAATCTAATAAAGCCGATATAATAACCAGACAAACAGATCAGGATGTTAGAACTCTAGGCGAATCACAATTACCGGGTGCGCCGGAAGGTCATTACCAAACTGGTTAGTCTACGTTCAAAGCTTCTTCGTCAGACTCGTCAATCAACCTTGACAATCCAAGTACTGCTAGTAGCGTTCTCGATACGGTATTTTCATTCGATCAAGACGAGTATGATTTTGGTTTGAAGCTGGAAGAAAATCCAGTTGGTAATTCCGATCTATCTGATCACGATTCACAATCAACTATGCACTACCTTCCTGACGATTATTGGATTACAGGCAACCCATCGTATCTAGAGCAAGTGAATTCTAATAGTTGCGTTGTATTAGATGAAAAACGAGGTAAATTTAATCAAGCTCAGAGCTCCTTAACGGTCAATAATACAGCGAGTAAATCTACTTCGGTTATCGACGATCAACCACCACCGATGTCACCAGCTTGATATGACCAGAATTTTGAATCACCGTTTTTCTATGATTCACATAATTTTCCGTCAGTGTATGATCCAGCTAATTTCAAACGGAACCAATCACAAATCAGTCAGAAACGAGGGGTTGAAAAGTAATGCTGCTGATGACTCTAACATTCCAGTCGTAGAAATACCCATGCCAGATTTTGGTATTCTTGAGTTTAATTGAAGTTAAGATTATTCGATACAATTTTTAATGTGTTACAATTTTCCACAATACTTTTTTTAGTTCTCCAGTTTATTCAAAAATTAATATTGCAATCATCTTCAAAGCAGCCTGAAAGGTTACTATGGATGATGTCTCAGATAGCTTAACTGGAAGAGCCCGTGATGCGCAACCAAAAGATCCGGGTTCGATTCCCGGTCCGGGCTGTCCCAATTATTTTTATTATTAATTAACTATTTATATATTTACTATTAATTAACTAGATTTTTCTTTCAGTGCAGATCATTTATGCAGTATAAAATAATTGATTAATCCTAATCACTTCTACTAAATAATGTAAATAAATTGAAATATAGATCATTTGCAGTACACAGTTAAAAATGCAATCAGCAAAGCAATCAATAAGACAAACTAAAATCGATTTAATAATTTTAAATGCTGTTAAAAAATTAGTCATTGCTTTATCGCAAATGATTGCAATTACAATACCTATGAGTATAGAAGATTACTAACTTAGCAAACTTACTTACTTTCAAGTCCTATTATATTTATAAAACAATGTCTGATAGTTCGAATAGCAGAGATTTTGAACCTAGAAATAGTTTATTGAGAAAAAGGAAACGCCGAAACGTATCACCTTACACTCAAAGAGTTCTACGTAGACAAATTAATGATAGCCCTACTCCGAAGAGACAATTAAGTCACGACGAACAATTAAACTTGAGACGCGAATTGGAAAAATCCGAAGACAGAGTTAGACGCGCCAGAAAATTGCGTTCAAGTTTGAAGCGGAGGAATTCTAACGATAGGACATCATCGAGACGATTGGATCCTTTAGGAGCGGATGATCCTTATGATAAAATACGTAGTCTTAGAATTAAAAAGCGTTTCAGAGAGCTTGTCGAATTTCCGGAGACTGGAGAACGTAGTGGAAATTCAGCTGAAGAACCATCAACATCATCTGCTCGAGTTGGTGAACTTCAACGCTCTTCTGCTCGTTCAAAGCTCAGATTTCGAACTGGAAAATTGGAAAATCAATTTTGGCGAATCAATTCTTGTGTATGTACAAAGTGTGCACGTTAGAACAATTGTTATGATGGAAATTCGAATTATAATTGAGAAATTGATGAATTTTACAGATGACTATTCAAATAGTTGAGATATTATAGAAAACGATTGAGAAAATCTTTTTTGCTTTGGATTTATACAAAAGCTGAATCACATAGAGGAATATCCATGATTTTCCAGAATTTTTGTGTTCGATTATTTGGAAAATTAAATATTTTGTATTAGCTTCGGTTTTTAGCACATAACTTCTATAATAATGGTCCAATCAGAACTTATTTTTCGAAAATTTTTATTTTTCAATGTTCTTTTCAGAAAAAATTTGAGTTTTAAACTTCTAGAATATATTTTTTTCAGTTAGGATATATTTGATGCTTTGCATTATGAATCGTGCAATAAATTCCATATCACTGTATCCCAATACTCCTTTATTTGTAATACATAGCAAATAACTAAATGCGCACAGAAAAAACTAATATGATCAGTAATTGACATAATGAATTGAATTGCTATTCAGAAACTGGATAATGCTTTGTTGGAAACCATTGCAATATACGAAGTTATTATCATAGAAGACAGCCGATTTTTTAAACCTAATAAAAATATTAAAAAAGTAATTATGGGTAACTCTTCATCCCAATCACCCAAACGGAAGGTCGAAGATGAACCTGAATCTTTCGAATCAAAAGTAAGACGCATGAATCCACCTCAAAACCATCTAAAAAGACCACTTAGTAACCTCGATAATGATATTAGTTCAAAAAGGTCTCGTTCGAATGATCAGGAAGTTCCTGTCAATGGAGCTAGCGATTGGGAAGATTCGACTACCCAAGACAGTGAATCTTATCAATCTGACAGCTCATCTAATGACGGTAAACAAGTTCCAAGCCGGTTCGGATCTAGAAGCCAAAGCTCAGACAGTTTAAACGACGTATCGATGACTGATCTTTCATCAATCAATAAACGGCCATTAAACTGGGCTAATGATTATGATCAAAGATCACAGCGGTTAAGACCTAGTGACCGAGTGAATAATAACAATTCAAGATCGTCAGAATCGTTGAACACTAACAACGAAATGAACTGGACGAGGCTAAATCTAAAACGTAGCAATTCTTCTGATGATTTGCCGAATAAACGACCCGTTAGCGGAAAAAATACTCCTTCAGGTTCCCCTTTATTGGAACGTCTTCAAAGATTGAAAAGACACAGAAGCAATTCAGATGATTTTGACGTTAATGCTAAGCGGCTTAAAAGATCAGTTATGATCGACAGAAAACGCAAAGGACTTTATGATGAGTATAGTCCGAAGAAACGATTACGTAGTGATTCACAAACTGAATAATCTTTTGTAAGATTACCTTAAGAATCGCCAATATCTTATGCGAAAGTGGCTTTAAAGCGGATAATATTTAAAAAAACGTGATAATTTATGGAAATAAGAATTTTGTGTGAGATATGCTATTGATAATAACTATTTTGAATAAAAAAATTATTTTTTTGGTCTTACGACTGTAACTATACAGAGAGTGCTTTATGATGGATAAATTTTTTTCGGCAACTGTTTTTATTACAATACCCTTGTTAGTTAGCGGAATCGAAATATTTTGCATACTTCAAGATTATTTAATGGAGATTAATTCCGTACTATTTAAGAATTTATTTAGTGCAATAGAAGCGGAAAAAATATCAAAAAAGTTCGGAAAATCCAAAAGTGCACGTCTCATAATCTCACTTTCCATAATGAAATTGATTAAAATAAAATACTTTTAAATCTTTCGCGCCATTGTCTACCCAGAAAAGAAAGGTACTGCGCATGTGTTGTAAACGAACCTTATTTACATAGATATAGATGTACAAACGATATGTGAATTTTAATTTATTTTAATTTATGGGGCGTGCAATAATTTAAGAAATTTTCCTGCTTGTTTGGGATAATGTTAATTTATTAGAAAAAAGAGTAAGAAAATATGAAATAAATTTATCTATATTGTTTTATTAATCATAATTTACAAGATAATATTATTTATCACAGGTTCGAATTTGTTTAGCACATTTTACTTTACAAACATAATTATTAATTACACTCTAACTTAATGATTGCTTAATTATTTCTATCAACCGATACAAAAATATCATTTGTATATTTATATATCTATAACATTCGTATGTATTAATTAATTAATTTATTAATTATTGCAAGGCTAGTATATAAGAGTTCATAAAAATGATAGTGTTATGTAAAAAAAAAAGAGTATTTTGATAATTCGATTTCACGTAAGGCAATTTAATAGTATTTATTAAGTTCTTTGTCGATAAATAATGTTGCTGTACGGTTTCTAAGTGATTATATCAGCAGGTGTCTTTGTTGTTATTTGCAAGGGCACTGAGAACAATTCCTCCCATGGGGGTTGGATCGCGTTGATTACAGCATTTGACGCGTCGGTCGATACAAACTTGAATGTCCAGAGTTCTTCGATGCCAGCTACTTCATCGAGGAAACTCAAGCCTAATGTGCATCCGTCTGATATCTGTTCAATCAGATAAAGTAGATCATTGCTTGGATGTGATAACAATCAATTACATTTTGGTGGGATGGTAGCTTTTTTGGGTAGGAAATTTTGTGATTGATGATAGTCATTATTATCGGGGTCATAGTTTTGAAAAGTATCATCATGGTTATGATCAGAACCATGATAGTTGAGATCATAGTTATCCTTATCATCATTTATTTTAGGATTGATGATCAGGATTATAGTTATGATGGTCGAAGTTATAGTTATGATGGATGTGATCATAATCATAATAGTCAGGAACACAGTCGTGATCATAGTATTGATAGTAATCATCATGGTTATGGTCGAAATCATGATAATTGGATCATAGTTATCCTTATAGTAATGTATTGTTTGATTGATGGTTGGGATCGTGGTCATGATGTTCGAGATGAAAGTCATGATAAGAATCATCGTAGTCGTGATATGAATCATGATGGTCTTGATTATAGTTGTAATGGTTGTGATCATAATCATAATGGTCAGGAACACAGTCGTGATCATAGTTATCCTTATCATGATTTATTTTAGGATTGATGACCAGGATCATAGTCATGATAGTTGGAATTAAAGATATAATAAGAAGGAATATAATGATCATGATCGTGGACATAATGTTTGAGGTCAAAGTCATGAAAAAAATTATGATGGCCATGATATGAATCGTAAAGATGATGATTAATTATGATGTTCGAAGTTATAGTTATAATGTTTATGATCATAATCATAATAGTCAGGAACACAGTCGTGATCATAGTTATGATCGAAATCATGATAACCGAATCATAGTTATCCTTGTAGTAATGTATTGTTGGATTGATGGCCAGGATGATAGTCATGATCATAGGCATGTTAGTTGTGATCACAGTCATAATACTCATAATAGTCAGAAACACAATTGTGATCAGAATGATGATGGTTGTGATCATAAACATGATGATCATGATCATCGCCATGATAAATATAATGATAATATGAAAGGAAGTGATAACGATGATGAAAACCAAAATAATTGAACTAAAAAAAGCAACTACAATAAATAAATTTAACTTAAAATAAACTCACCACTTCAATGAGATTGCTTATCGATTGCTCAGTCAATTTGATCGGTTCCTCATTCGCTTCAGGTAACATCCAATGCAGTTTGTCTTCCGTAACAATTATCGAAGAAGTAGTAACCAACAGTCCCGCCATGTTAACCTGAACAGTCCTTTCACCTATATCTAAGCTCGCGAATGAAAAGATCGCGAAAATTCTAACCGCGTCATTATCTCTCCTATACTCAGAATCAGTCATAAGTTGATGCATCAACGCGGTGGAATTCTCACCAATTGCAAACTCAACTTCGCAGCTGGTTGGCAACGGCAAATCTGTCAAGTAGAACATCAAGTTTGATGTCCATTGAAAATCTTGCAGAATGCACAACAAATGAAGGTTATTGTTAACATTATCGTGATCCGCGACGCTGCTGTTATTTAATCGATTTGTCAACGTGTTTTCTAATTCAATCATGATACCCTGTTTGAAAGGCAACGGCGCGAATATACGAACGCGGTCCATCGTCCAGGAAATTTCTTTGTGCAACCAACGCGACGGGTCTTCCCCTTCGACTCCGACGATTTTGAGAATGTAAATTTTTGATGTAGATAGAACCAAACACCCCGCGAATGGAACTAATTGATTTTGCAGTAGAATTTCAGAGCGTAAAAACAAAACAAGCTCCTCATTTTCTAACTCAAAAACGTTTAATATCAAGTGCAACTTTATACGATGATCTACACTAGTGAAATTAGTAAACGAATATTGTATATCTGTGCTCAAGTACTCCGGTTCGTCCAATTTCAACGTCGAGTTCTTGGCACCTATTTTTATACTACTTAACAGGCCTGGAACAGATTTCAGCCGTTCAGATTGATGCCAGGCAAAAAAGGGAAGGTTACTTACCACCCAGCATTGATGTCAGGTTGGACACTGGTGTAAATGGAGATTCTTTGATGCTTCCTAAGCTTCCCGGTTGAATTTCCAAGTCGTTTGAATTCTTTCTTGTGAGTTTCGTTGGCGTCTTATGCTTGTTTTCGTATGTGGTACAAACGCTGTCAGTCATAGAACCTACATCAAAACAGCAGAAATGGGAGTTTTAGCAGTTTTACATCTAGGTCGAAGCTATTTCAACAAAGGTCAGTTAAGTAGTTCAGACACAAGCTTATATAATTGAACTAATCAATGATAGTGATTGATGGAAATTCATGGATTTAGGAAAATCACCAGTCAAAAAATGTTCTGGTGTGTCCATTTTTGATTTTTTATTAGTCCTGATATAGTCTGATATGAAAATTGGCCTTACATGGACATATCAAGGCAATTTTAGCTTTATAAGAGATGATAAGAATGATAAAAAAAAAATGCAAACCTGATGAACTACTTTCCGTTAGACCCGCCATAACAGGAGTTGCATCCGGAATTGTTAATAATGATGGCGCTATCGCAATACGACGCTCTTCGGATGATCGTTTCCGATTGGGCGTTGTGCTTGATCTGAATGATAAAAATAACTTAGTTCCCTAAATTCTAACCTCTTCAAACATCTCAACACACTAAATCAATGAACTTTTAACCTTAAAAAATCATGCTTGTACACTTACTTAGTTCCGTCATCTAATACTTCAATACTACTTTGACTTGGGTTGCTCAATATTTCAATGTCACTCTCGTATTTCTTCATTACTGTCCCGGTAGATGGCGTAGATTCACGCGAATCTTCGAGACTTGTCGCTGAACCTGTAACCACAAAATTATTACTTGAGTAAATTATCATAATCACCATCCATAACTATGTTAGGTGAAAAATTGTTGATAATTTCATGTGTTAAGTGCTTTTGCTCGTTATTTTTATGTGCAAATTGTCATTAAAATGTGTTTTTAATAAGAAAGTATAAACAAAAGCTTACAGCGAACTTGAGGCTGGTTTTGAGACTTGGTACACACCAAAGAAGTGGTAATTGATAGAGGTCCATCCTCAATTCCACCTGCACCAGGTGATTAGTATGTTAGAAGACCCAAACATTTTTAATTTTAAGTAATAAAAAATTTATTATATCACTGCTTTAATTATAAATTCGATTGATAGTTTAGATGCTTTTGACTCTATTGTTTAAAGGTCAATAACATTAATGGATTTACTTAGAAAATTATTGAGTTATTGATTATTGAAATGTATTTAAGTTATTTATTTGCTAGATATAATTGGATATTTTTACACTAGCGAAAATTGACCATGGATTGTTAATGACAACTTTTTTTAGCGTCATTGTAAGAACTATTTGATCATTGATTTAAATAAAAAAAAAAAAAAAGAGTTTTCCCATTAAAATTATGTGTAAATATTATTCTACAAGTGCGATAGAAAATAGAGACAATTTCAGTTCAAAAAATCACTTGATTCTTGTAAGGCGAGAATAGGACACTACCTCATCCACTTCGCTTATGAGGCGTGCAAAAAACAGTGATAATGTTGTTTTAACACTTTTTACAATGTACGATTTGACGCTTAGTGCAATTTCATTAACGAACAAAGAAATTAAATTAAAAAAACGACAGCGTCGTTACTAATTCCTTGGGAATTTCAGCAGTATCCTATTAGTTATCGTAAAAGCTTGAAAGGATTTTCATAATTTAGGTAGAATACAACTGATTTTGAAAAAGCTTTGAAATTACAATTGTTAAAAAATGAACATAGAGTACCTAAAAGAGCTTACCAAGGATACATTCAGCGTGGTAATTGATTTTAATGGTTATCGTGACTCGACAAATGAATTCAACATAAAAGAATACTCTTTATACTTGATAAACAAAAACGGTGAGATAATGACCTCTTCTTTTCAAGTTTTAAGTCCCGAATTGAGGTCAGATGATCTTGATCCAATAACTTATGGCAATTATAAAAAATATTTTGAAAAGTACAGAATAAAGTGGCACAAAGGTACGGAAAGAAAAAACACCTTTAAAATTAATTTAGATTTCTGTTTGGCAAAAGCGTACAAATTCTTTGTTTACAATGAAAACAATAAACAATCACTAATAAATTTCTTGGAAAAACAATATCATTTAGAAATGATACCTAAGATAATAACTTTACGCGAAACGTTTGATTTCAAAATTACGATTAATAAGAATTCGCCTTGTAACAAACACAAGAAACCAAACAAAAGGTGCGCGAATGACAACGTCGAAAAAATGGTTGCCTTTGTCCAAAAATATAAATTATACATCGGAAATACATTGAATAGAGCCCATGTTGTAGTTGATTTCAGTTACTACAAAAAACTTGACTGGTCGGTGATGATCAAGGAAGTTGCGATAATTGAAATTGATCAAGATGGTGTCGAAAGATTGCATTATTCAAAATCATCGAAGTTTCCTCCAATTCGACTCTTACCAGAGGGGCCCAAAAGCTACAAAGAGTTTGAGCGTAAAACCGGATTCACGTGGAAGGATGGTGAAATTCCGTTAAGTGAATGCAATTCTCGAGTAGGTGGTTCTCTAAATAATGCTTTGTATATCTACGTCAAGGATAGCGACAAGAAAGAAGCACTTTTGCGTGTTATCAACGAAAGGAATCGACCTAAAGTTATTTGTTTGGACAAATTAGGGTACAACATCACGTCAGGATTTATGATGATTAAATGCCCGCGGCATCATAACGAGTTGAATCATTACTGTGCTGATGATCATGCTCGAAAAATGACTGAGTGGTTTTTGGAAAATAAAATCTACTGTCCGAGGATTCGCAAAGGTCTGATTCAACAACATGCCAATTCTAATCAAGGTATCGATACTTCTGGTGGAAATTTCCCAATTATGCAGCAAAATTACCGGGTTGATGTTGCATCCAATCAAAGACTTGATCAGGATATTGATGACATGGCATCACAATTAAGTATTACGTTCACTGATAATGTAAGAGCATCAACATCATATCCTGATTCGAGGAGACATTATCAACGGTCTAACTCTGGAGACTTCCCGCTGGTGAATACTCAAAACTACACCAGTATTTTCGGAGATGAGCAACTTTATTTGGACAGCAGTAATAGCGAGTAATGAATTGCGCGTTGATTTTAAATTGATTATTGAAATTATTTTTTGATATGTTTTATTTTTACCTTTCATATTCATCAAAAATTCATGGCAGATTGTTGACAGAGCAAACTGATCAAGTAACAAATTATCAACAACTATTGACAATCATACTGCAAATAATGGTGATCTCATGTATTTTCAATCAACCATTACAATTGATTTGTTCATATTGGTAGACGAGCCGCGCCAGGAAAATGGCTACCGATTTGATAATCGATTTCAACGGTTACTTTATGCCAAATAATGAATACAAAATCAAAGAACTATCTTTGTTTTTACTGGAGCGAGACACAGTTCTCGTAGAATATAACGTCTTCCTTATATCAAACCCGCCGTGTCCTTGGGAAGAACTTGACCATCAAACCAAAACAGGGTATGGAAAGTACCTTGAAAAGTATGGAGTCGACTGGAACTCTGGTTCTAAGTCATTTGAGGATGTCTTTAATGACTTATGGACTTATGTGCTAGAATCTGAATACATTTACATCCGCAATGAAGAACAGAGGAGATTACTGTTGAATTTTCTCCATGAATCTAAAGATAAAACTATGTATGAATTTGTATGTCTCGAAGACTTAGATTGCACTAACCCACTGAGGATGTCAACACACTGTCATCATCATCAGGAGCCAAATACGAACAATTGTGCCAATGATAACCTCTTGGCGATGACCAGGTGGTTAAAGCACTCTAAATTGTATACAAGCAGCAGCAGGAACAAAATGCACATGGTGCTCGATTTTGTGGGTTATGACCTTCCACATGGTGTCTTTGCGGTGAAAGAATTTGGTGCAATAACCATGGACCAAAGCGGGGTGTTACAACATGAATTTTATCAAGTTGTCCAAGCGCCTTATAATTTGGAAGAACTACCGCTGAGTTACAAGCTTTCTTATGACTATTTTTACGATAGACATGGGATTTCGTGGTATAAAGGTAATTTGCCGTTTAAAAAATTCAAGAAAACGCTCATTGGATATTTAAAAAATAATAAGTACATTTATGTAAGAAACAATACGCAGAAAAAACTTTTGATGGAATTTATTGGTGATAAGAAGGAGATCATTCCGTTAGATAAATTCAGGTTTGATGTAGCGCCACAAATGTTTACTCTTTGTCAGAATCATAACAACGAAAAATACAATTGTGCTCTTGAGAATTGTAGAGATATGGTTATGTGGTTAGAGAAAAGTGAAATGTTCAAACCTGTTGTGCGTAAGAATTATTTGAATCAATTTTCAGCGAAAAGAATGAGATTTTTCTGAATTGTAACAAAATTGTAATGAATTTTAATTTTTTATAGGTGAGAAGGGAGTCAATTGAACCAAAAATATTTAAAACTCAAACCCGAACTTTTAATAAATAATATATTAATTGTTACTTGCCAATATTACTGTTGCACATTTTTAATGTACAGATATTATATTAAATAAATCAAAAATCAATTTAAAAAAAAATTTTCATTATAAATTCAATTCATTAAATTGTTAGGTTATTTCCCTGAGTATTTTTCACTATAAACAAAGTTAAGGATTATAAAGTATAAGTATATACAATTACTACAATTCAAACTTTATCAATTAATTCAAAAATTGAAATATTATTAAACAATTTGTCACCAGCCGAAAAAACAGTTTACATCCCTAAAAATAAGAAAATCTCAATTATTCAAAATTTATTAATCACTATGATTTCAAATTTTGATCATATCAGAGTTTAACCTATTAGAATCTAATTCTAAGAGCATAAAGGGGTTTTTCAATTTTTTAAGTCAAGTGGTTCAATTGACCCCCTTCTCTCCTATTTTCATCAAAATTCAATTCATGATTGAGATATTTTGTTAGATTTCTGAAGAACATCATGATTGAGCCATTTAAATTGTGTGGTAAAATAGAGAAGATTAACAATAACCAATGCGTAAATTCTATCATTGTAATAAAAATTCGAGGATACATGTTGATTTATTAATGAGTTCATTAGCAGAAAAGGAATTTTGCATTTGGTTAAAAATCTGATATAGTTAAACGGAATATGTCATTAAAGGATGTGGTTATCGATTTCAATGGGTACTATGAATCGGCGGATCAGTTTATAATAAAGGAATACTCATTACTCATAATCGACAACGTAAAAAAGACAACAACCACTGAATCACAGGTGACTAAACCGAGATCTCACTGGCTTTTCACCAATTTCTTAACGAAAAGAAATTACCAATTATATTACCTTCCTTTTTACGGTATCAAATGGAACCGCGGTACTAACAGCATACCGGACGCTCGTCAGAAAATAATCGAACGGCTGAAAGACGCAAAAAATATTTTTGTGCGTAATTATCAGCAAAAGAAACTGTTGTTGAATTTCATTGGTGATGATGCAAATTATAGATTTTTGTGTTGCGATGATTTGGGATACACTGAAAGGATAGTGTTTCAAACAAACTGTCCAAATCACAAAGAATTTTTGAAGAATAATTGCGCTATTGATAATGTCTCAGACATGTACGAATGGCTGAAAGAAATGCGGTCATCACCAAAGCCAAAAAAAGAGAAAATTTATCGTAAATACGAACATGTCGTTGTTGATTTTATTGGATACTACATTCCAGAGGATCAATTTGTCATAAAGGAATTCAGTGCTTTTGTTATTAACGACATTGAACATGCTTTTGGAAATCTAATTAACACAT